AACTCTTCTGGCAGGAAACCTGCAGACAACCCTGCAAAAGGCTGGGCATTTTCTTTCGAGGCAGCGGATGCCCTCGGCGGCTATTAATCTGCGTTCTCTGGCCACCAAGTCAATCCGATTCACAATCGGAGCTTTTTTCAGCAGCTTATGAATTCTAGAGGCTGAAGTTTCTGTTTTAAAGCAACTTAATCTTCTGTGATTTTTATCCGGCCAGGTCTGCTCGTGTATTGCGACAGAGGAAGCCTGATGGAAAGCACGAACGGTATGAGTTTTCCTCGCAGGCTCTCGGTATTTCTCAAGCCTTGCAACCCTCCTGCCCCGTGACCAGGGGCCAGCATCTCTCGTCGTGCTTGTGCAACGTGTACGTGCCCGGGAGCTGACATATTTGCCTCAAACGAGTTAGCTGGGACACTCTGATTTTTCTATAATGCATATTCCTAGATTTTCTTTAGAAGCAATATGCTATATGAACAGCTCTTTAGCACAAATGTAAAGGGGAATCTTAAGATTTCCTGTTAAGCACCCATCCGCTCTGGTTTTGCTGGGATAAAGACTCGTATATTCTGGGTAATCTGATCAGATGGGCGAGGTTACTGGAATGTTTGGTCTCACGGAAAATTCAGAACGTAGTTAAATTTGACGTTTTGCAGATACCTTTGTGCTATAAAGGGAAGCTCTCAGGATCTTGTTTCTATGAAATAGAACAAAAACCAGCTCTTCAGAAAAGAGAAACTCCAATCACCCTTCAATCCTGAACTCCTCAGCGGCGTGCCAGAAGGCTTTCCTGTATAGCATTCGATAGGGAGGTTAACAGACAGCAGGCTAAATTTACATTAAAACCTCATCCTGTGGTGAGGTTTAGCAGATCCTAGAAATACAAGGCAAGGAAAACGGGTGTATTTTTCATGTTTATACCTTTTTGAACCTGAACTGCAACGTAATGAGTACATTTCAGGGATAGATGTGAACTACTCCTTATCTTATGTAAGTTGATAGGAATTTCTATACGTTGCTGTTCCCAGCGTTGAAGCAGAGGCACGCTAGAGAGCAGAAGCTGTTTCAATTCACAAAAAAGCCTCCCTAAAGAACGTTGTCGTGCTGCGTGGTGCGCATAATCTCTCTAGCCTTGCATCCTTCTTTTGAGATGGTAGATGCTTGCAGGAAGAAAAGGCCTGACCCTTTTTCGTGCATGGAGCCCAGGTCTCTGGATGGGTAAAGCTCACCGATCAAATCCGCTGCCACAAGTTGAAGAGGCTAGTAGTGAGTAAATAAAAGATGGAATACTTGGGCAGAGACGCTTCCATCAGAGAAGAGAAAGATGTAGAGGTTTGAATTCCAGTGTTTTGGGACCGTAAATCAGGCACTGCTTGACAGGGTGAGGAATTTAACTGACGTTAACTGGCCAGAGATTTATGTGTTTATGGAATCAAATACTTCTTTGGTCTTGGAAAGCAAACTGGATTACAGAATTATACCAAGAGGCAGAGCAGAATTTATCACGAAACATCTTGTAAATGGAAGTGCCAGTGAGGAAAGTAATGGTTTATATAACAGTCTTTTCCCAAATAACATTCATCTTGCTGTCATGTTATGGATATATATTAATAGGATAATAGCTGCTAAAATAATGTTTGCCGAGGACGTACACAACTGGATGAACTCTCTTCCATTATGTGTACGTTGCCCCTCCCGAGCTGTCAGTCTGCTTATTTAAGAGATTGAATAGTTGCTCACTAGCACTAAAAGAGGCGGCTGCTTCCATTTATGGCTGGGAAATTCCCAAAGAAGAATGTGCTGTCGGTTTGTTCATCCCTCTGCAATGTGAAATGGCTGAGTTCTCTGAAGTACCGACGGGCTTAACTAAGGATATGGCTTTATCCCAAGCTTCGTGCTGGTTTGCGTGTTCCCCAGCCCTCCTTTTGCAAAGCGATGCTTGCATGTAGACTAGCTATAACCTCAGGCATCATCAGCCTGAGCGATCTGCTTTTATTTTTGGTACGCCGAAGGCAATTGTGTGTGACTCTGTCCCAAAGAATGCTTGTAGGTGACTTGATTAGGTAGCGGTATTAAAGATGTGGCCTCCACTGGTGCAGATGAAGTTTGCTGTGCTGTATTCTCTCGTGATAGGTAGAAAGAGATTAAAATGCTAAATGAAATAAGTGATGGGATCGGTTGGCTGAAGTGGATTGCCAGTGGTGAAAAACTGAAGCCCCTTACTCAAAACTCCTATCTTGCAGGTCATGGGGTTAAAGTTTCAGCATGTCTATATCAAAGTTCATTAATGTACTCAACAGTGCAATTCAAGAAAAAGTTTCTTCCGTTTGATTCCAAGTGATGAAATCAAGCAGGTAATTAGTCTTGTTTGTTCAGCTGTGAATTGGGGCTTAGCATGTTCTGGTAGCTAGGGCAACAGCCCTCGACTGATATGCAAACTATTTGAGCAATCCGCGGAGGAGGAATGATACCTTTGCCACAGTGCCGAGGTGTCAGGCCGGAGAGACAGCAAAAATAAACAGGAGCTCGCAGCGGTATGTAAATAGGGGGTGGTCATGATTTCAGGAGGTCGGTATGTGTTTGAACAGGGGTTTTTGCTCATGCAAGAGCTGTTGTGAATGGATTACTTGTGGATGTTTCTGCCTCTTGGGATGGAGCCTGCACCTCTCCTGCTTACGCTGTTACCTTGTTTTGCTGCTTACTTGTGAAGATTGCTTTGAAGAGAACAGATTTCAAGCATAGGCAGTGCTAATGATCTCGAAACTGTTCATAACACATTCATTTTATTCTCTTTTGATGCACTGTACTCTTCGTACAAGGGTTAATGCTCTCTGCATACTTGATCTTGCCTTTCTTTTTGTTCTTTTCAGAGTTCAGCTTCAATCTTGGATGTAGTTGTAGCGTTGTCATAAAACAAAATTGCGTTGTGGATTGTTTCCTTTAACATGCCGAGGCTTGTGCTCTGGAAAGCGGTTGTTGGTACCAAAGTGGTGTTTGTTTGGAGAGAGATAAAAAGACCCTCTTACAAAGTTTGTGTGTGTGTGTTTATAGGGCGATGAGGGATCATTTTGCGTTTGCCTTTTTCTTCTGAAACGATAGAGCAGGGAGGAAGGCAGTGCACGAGCAGAGGTTTTGCTGTCTGGGATCAGTCAGCACTTGTTCAAAGCACATGTTTAATAAACTTTTTGATTTCTGAAGGAACGAAGTTATTGCACTCTGTTACCTAGCCTCAGTGTGTTTATCAGAAGTCCTCCTATACCTGAAGTACGTCACTGTCGTCTTTTCGTTAGGACAGAGAGAACAACAAATGTACCTACGCTAAACTTGAAAGTATACGTGAACTTGGAAGCGTTTTGTTGCTGGGACATCGATGCCGATATCTGTTATATGTAGTTCAGTATTTCATTATTTTGTGGTCTGTGCTAAAACTTGCTCTCACGAGCGTCTGTTGGGTGAAAGAGTTAGAGTAAATAGAAGCTGCTTGTAAAAGAGTGATATGCAGTTGAATAGTTGGTAAAACTCAAGGGATAATTTTTCTGAAGAGATGATTTTATGCTTTTGCGTCTCGAGTTGGTCTTATCCACGAAGCGCTAGCCGTGTGTTCAACGCTAAATGATCCTCGACTCCCCGAGTGTTGAGATGTCTTATGTTGAGGTTGTGATTTTGTGTATAAATGGGGAGGGGGTGAAATGAACTAGTTATGACGGAGTTAATTTTTTCCTAATATCTGGCAACTAGGAGCTCCGCACAGGGGTTGTCCAGTTGAATTGTTCGCTTTGCTCCTTTATTTGCTTTAAGCGTACACGTATTGATAGAGGTTGATGGGGATCTGCAGGGCAATAGGGAAGGAGCAGTGCCCACAGTAACGTATGCATTTTTGAGTGCATGAAAAGTTAAATACGAGGGCAGGACTGGTGGCCTAGGGTAGTGGTGCCTGCCAGGAAAAAAGCAGCTTAGGGGCGGTGGTGGCCTGAAGCCTCTGTGTTTTGCTGTTTCTAATCTGCCTTGTCTGAAGTAGTTGAAATGGATTTCATTCCCCTAAACACCTTAAAGAGCTTTCGATTTAGGAGTTCATCCGTGGTTTTGCCTCATACCTCTTCTTTTCTTTTAATTTTTTCTTTTACAACAGCTGGTAGTTATGTAGGGAGAGGATGTTCAGCTCCCAGCATCCACTCGGTCCTTTCAGAAAAAAAAACAAGTCTGCAATTTAATTTAATCCCCTTTTTCTTCTTTTGGGCCGCCAGCAAGATTTCAGAAAGGGAATCTGACCTTGTTTTCATTGATCAGTCTACAGTTTGACCCAAATGTGGGTCTGGGTCGTCGGGTTTTTGTCTGCTGGTGCCGGGTGGGAAGTGCTCAGAATATGCATCAGAAACCAGGCGGTACAAGTGCCCACAGGAGTGCACTGAATGAGAGACACAACAGGCTTTGAGGAGTCGTTTGCGACAGCTATGTTTTTCTGATTCAGCAGAAGTCATCCTTACTCGTAGGTTTGAGCAAGACGCTTCGGTGTTTCTGTCCCAAGTATTTGAAGATTTTGGGAGAAACACATGGCTTCAAACTCTAAGCAGGATTCTTGCGGCGGGAGGCAGTTATTTTAGTAGTAGTAGCAATACCTGCTTTGTGTGTAACCTCACAGAGGCGTTTCTGCCAAAAGTTATTAGTATTAGTTACTTATCTTCAAATACTGGTTTAAGTTTTTTCAGACATCTGTTTTAACCTTTGTGGGCCCAACCTTTAAGTGACAATTACTCTTGGTTTCGGTAAGCTGTTGTTGCAGTAATAAAAACAGAATTTGGAAAAACAGACACCTTGCTGTTGAAAACTTGGTGTGGGCTCGCCAACTTCAAGCGATATTGTTAGGAAGTAGCTTGCAAGACTCCACCGATGTTCTTGATTAAGCAGGAGCTCTCTGAGAAGATGCCAGAGGGTTTCTGGTTCTTTGTGTTGTTCTGCTTTCCGTCACATAATGCCACCAACGTGTTTCGGTTTGGTTTTGTCTTTGCAGGCACTTGCAGCCAATGCCGGGACAGGGTTTGCAGTGGCAGAGCCTCAAATTGCCATGTTCTGTGGGAAGCTAAATATGCATGTGAATATCCAGACTGGGAAATGGGAACCTGACACTTCGGGGACCAAGAGCTGCTTTGGAGGAAAGGAAGAGATTCTGCAATACTGCCAGGAGGTGAGTTTTTCTGTGTGATCCTGAATCTTCAGTGCTGCTGAGGAATTGGATTCCAGTTTAGCTGGTCAGTAGCAAAATAACCCTGCGGGAGAGTAACTTGCTTTTGACTAGCTCAGTTCCCTGAACTGTCTTGCTGTCCAGGAAAAGCAGGGAGGACACTGCAGTGGGATTTAGGCGCTACCGCTGATTTAGATCAGCTTACGCTGCTGCAGAAGGTCCTCGGTCTCTAAGTCGGAGAGGCATCCATGTCTCTGCAAGGGTTTCTTCAGATGTTCTGCCTCTGAGCTGGTTAACCAGCATCTGCCCCATGTTGTGCAAAATGGAACCTGACACCCATTCTAATTAAAATGTGGCTGTGTTGTTCTCGCTGACGTGTTCAGATCAGCCAGAACATTAGAAAAATACTTTCATCAAAATGTTGACAGTATTTTTAGGCTCTTTATAGTAAAAGATGTAATCTCCTTTCGGTGTGCTCCAGATATACTGTAGCATACTGGCCTTGATAAGTGTCTTTAATTGCTTCTCTGAGGTGACAGGCATGTAAAATACCGCAAGGAATGTATTTTTTTTCTTTTTTTAATGGGAAAGTGATAGAATGTGCCATGTCTGGACTGGAAAGCTTTTAAAACTATTTTACAAGGCTGATGTAACTGGGGCTACATTTGATTCACGTAGTGGAAGCCTAAATGTAAGTCAGCGTTTGGACTTGAGAACTCGAGCAGGATGTAAGGATCCTATTAATACATTTTAAATGGAGCAGGCATAAGGAAACCTGAGGAGGTAGGTGCGTATGAGCTTGACAAGTAACAAGAGAGTCTGAAGATACTACTAAACCCTGTTTGTTGGTGATTGCCCTCTTCCAGAGGGTAACGTGCTGCACTGGACAGAATTTAACAGACAAATCTCCTCCAAACCCAAATACTCCCCCTCCGCTACCATGCAAAGTCAAACACGTCAGCTTGGTGCCGGTGAAGGCTCTTGCCCCCGACGTGGCTTTCTCCTGCCGCAAAGAAGCGATGACACGTTCCCTTTCTCAAGCCCTGGGTGATAAACAGCTAGGAGCTTTTTTATGTCTTCAGCTGTTGTAAGCTTGATCCAGAAGAGAATGTGTGTCCACGTGCAAATTTGAACTTGTTTTTTGTGCAGAGAATCAGCCTCACTACTCTGGGTTAGGAGCTGCTTTGCACATTCTTTGTCCTTTCTGGAGAGAAACCTCTCTCTGTGTCTTTTTAAACAGATGTATCCAGACCTTCAGATTACGAATGTTGTGGAAGCCAATCAACCTGTCAGCATCGACAACTGGTGCAAGAGGGGGAAGAAACAGTGCAAGGACCACACTCATATTGTCGTGCCCTACAAGTGCCTGGGTGAGTGCGTGGTATGATGTGTTTGGGCATTCTTGGGGGAGGAGCAAAGAATTGCCTCCTGGCCTCTTACGGAGAGCGCAACTGAGTTTTTATAAGGCTTCTCCCAGATCAAGTTGCCATTTCCACGTCCAACTTCCACTTAAGCGTTTTTGTTTCCACAAGATGGAACTTTGCCTTTCTCAAAGAGATCGACGGCTTGATAACAACTGTGGTGGAATAATGGTGCCTGGCGTGAAAAAGAAATCCCCATTCTCTCTGCAAGTGCCATAAAAACCTGAAGGCTATTGTATTTGAGTATCACAAAGACATTGGGATTTAATACTGCGATCCTATTTTGGTGAAGCGTTAATATTTTGTTGCCTTGGAGACTTGAATGCTCAGTGTGTTCGGGCTTCCTGCTTTGGTCTTGGCACGAGATCTCTATTCTGTTCCAATGACTATATTTAAACTTTGCTGTTTCAAAGAGGCCTTGCTTCTTGCAGCTGTATCCCGTGTCCCCACTTTGAACTGGGAAAGAATAGGAGATAAACTGTGATGGATTTCATGGTTCTTTCCAGAATCTGTCCACCCACTTGGATCAGTCAGCATGTTTAGCTTGTTTACCTTGCAGCTTTTGACCTGTCGGTTGTGCCTGACATTGTGCTGCATTGCATGTGTTCTTAGTAGTAAGCTTAGTCTCAGTTGGCTAAATCTCTTTTTCAGTTATTCACTGGAAAAGACTTGTTTTGTAAGAAGTCCTGTGCGATCTTGGAGAGTCTGATTGCTGGGAGCTTGCAGTGGGAACCAGTTTTCATGATTTGTGTCCATATCTCAGGTTAGCATGTGGCTTGACGCAGGAGGACACAAGCAAATCTGCGGAACCGTGTGGGTACTTTGCCCTATGTGTAATACCTTCCCCTAGACGATCATAAAGCATTTCATAAAAAAAAATGAAATTTGTTGTGGACACATCCTGGGAGAAAGATGCTTGTCTTTATAGATGTGGAAATTCAGCTTGGAGAAGCAACCAAACCCAGCTGATTATACTGAGAACTCCTAATGGAAAGAAGGATGGAAGTAAGATCTCGGGATTTATAAGGAGTCATCTCTTTGAGAAATAATCCTCCCCTAAGCCTATTCTCCAGCTGAAAAATAAGCTAATTTTAGTGACGTGACCCTAAAATTTGATAAGCATTAAACGATCTGTCAGAGACTTTAATTAGTGTGTCTCACGGCATTCGTGATTTGTATGGCCCAGCCTGCAAGGCAGCTTTAGTTTTCAGATCTGAGTTGCAAGTCAGTTGTCCGTGTGTGTATAAAATACCTTCTCCTTGTCTTTAGTAGTCCACAGATGGCTTGTTGTAAGTGGATGATGTGTTTCTCTGAAGTGCATATGACTTTTCTTAATATAGTCAAACTATGGGGTTTTCTTCCC